GCGCTCGCTGCGCGCCGCGGCGCCCCACAGCTTCGTGGCGCTCTGGGCGCCCCTGTTCCTGCTGCGCTCCGCCCTGGCCGACTTCAGCCTGGACAACGAGGTGCACTCGAGCTTCATCCACAGGAGCCTCCGCAGCCAGGAGCGGCGGGAGATGCAGCGCGAGATCCTCTCCATCTTGGGCTTGCCCCATCGCCCGCGCCCCCACCTCCAGGGCAAGCACAACTCGGCGCCCATGTTCATGCTGGACCTGTACAATGCCATGGCGGTGGAGGAGGGCGGCGGGCCCGACGGCCAGGGCTTCTCCTACCCCTACAAGGCGGTCTTCAGCACCCAGGGCCCCCCTCTGGCCAGCCTACAAGATAGCCACTTCCTCACCGACGCCGACATGGTTATGAGCTTCGTCAACCTCGGTGAGTGAGGGCAGGAGGGAGGGGGTGACCGTCTCGGTCAGAAGGCGCTTCGGAACAGGGAGGAGGGGGCCGCTTCTTACATCCAGTCCACCCATCGTCCCACTCGGGCCGTTTGCAAAACCGTAGTGCCTGGCCAAGGCTCTCCTACCCCCAGGTCCTTGAGGACCCCACGCTGTGCGCGCCCCAGGTAGGGCGAGCCAGGCTCATTTGGCCTGTGGGAGCTTTGGGGAGGGAAGGACTAGTCCTGAGACCCCTCCGGGTTAAGTTGGCGGCCGCCCCTCTGGGGCTGGAGGCGCCGGGCCGGCCGCGGCTCAGTTCAAAGCGCGGGGCTCGGTCATGTGAGCCGTGCCGGGCCGGCGCGTCCCGCGCTACCTGGATTTAAAGGGCCCGGCTCCGCGAAGCTGCCTTCCCGCCCTTTCTGGACTCCGCTCAGCCCTACCTGGCCCTGGCATCGCGGGCGTCGCGCCCCTGTCCCCGCCTGGGCTAGCACTACCCTACCTGTCCGTTCGCGGTGCGCCCGCCCTAGCGTGCCGCGCGCCCCGAGCGCCTCGGGGGGGCCCCCCTCCCGGCTGCCGGGCGCCCCCTCGCTCTCAGCTCTCCGGACTGGAGCTGGGGAAGAAACGTTGCCATTGCGAGCTTTCTATTTTAAATATTTAATGATAGGTCCCGGGCGGGCAGAATCCATTTTCAGCGTTTATCACATGTGGCGTGCAAACCACGGCTTTTGGCGATTGGGTGGCGCGGGATGGATCTCGGAGCAGACGCCGCCCGGGGCGGCTCGGGCGCTGCTCGGAGCCGGAGCCCCGAGGCCGCTGCGGGGCGCCGCCTCCTCCCTCTGCACGCAGACTCACCAGACTTACTCAAACTAACCCCCGGCAGCGCTCTGTAGGCTGACGGTCAAATATTTGGTTTCCGAGATAACACGCCCCGATAGCGCTGTTTCCTGCGCGGCTTTCATTCTGCATGTGTAACTTGCTGCGAAAATCCGAACCAAGTCAGGACAGCAAACTCACGCCCACGGGCGCCGTGTCAGCCTGGAAACAGTGATACTCAAGCGCCCCCCCGGCACTGGGGGCGTGGATGGAGGGCGCAGGGAGGCAAGGATCANTACCCCCAGGTCCTTGAGGACCCCACGCTGTGCGCGCCCCAGGTAGGGCGAGCCAGGCTCATTTGGCCTGTGGGAGCTTTGGGGAGGGAAGGACTAGTCCTGAGACCCCTCCGGGTTAAGTTGGCGGCCGCCCCTCTGGGGCTGGAGGCGCCGGGCCGGCCGCGGCTCAGTTCAAAGCGCGGGGCTCGGTCATGTGAGCCGTGCCGGGCCGGCGCGTCCCGCGCTACCTGGATTTAAAGGGCCCGGCTCCGCGAAGCTGCCTTCCCGCCCTTTCTGGACTCCGCTCAGCCCTACCTGGCCCTGGCATCGCGGGCGTCGCGCCCCTGTCCCCGCCTGGGCTAGCACTACCCTACCTGTCCGTTCGCGGTGCGCCCGCCCTAGCGTGCCGCGCGCCCCGAGCGCCTCGGGGGGGCCCCCCTCCCGGCTGCCGGGCGCCCCCTCGCTCTCAGCTCTCCGGACTGGAGCTGGGGAAGAAACGTTGCCATTGCGAGCTTTCTATTTTAAATATTTAATGATAGGTCCCGGGCGGGCAGAATCCATTTTCAGCGTTTATCACATGTGGCGTGCAAACCACGGCTTTTGGCGATTGGGTGGCGCGGGATGGATCTCGGAGCAGACGCCGCCCGGGGCGGCTCGGGCGCTGCTCGGAGCCGGAGCCCCGAGGCCGCTGCGGGGCGCCGCCTCCTCCCTCTGCACGCAGACTCACCAGACTTACTCAAACTAACCCCCGGCAGCGCTCTGTAGGCTGACGGTCAAATATTTGGTTTCCGAGATAACACGCCCCGATAGCGCTGTTTCCTGCGCGGCTTTCATTCTGCATGTGTAACTTGCTGCGAAAATCCGAACCAAGTCAGGACAGCAAACTCACGCCCACGGGCGCCGTGTCAGCCTGGAAACAGTGATACTCAAGCGCCCCCCCGGCACTGGGGGCGTGGATGGAGGGCGCAGGGAGGCAAGGATCAGCCTTAATGCTTCCCCCTTTAGATAAGGTACCGGGGTTCCCCGGATGCCATTGTCTGCCCTTAATCATAGCCAAAAATCAAACAGTGAAACGAGTGTCAGCGAGCAAGGGGTGGGAGGTTTAGATGCCAAAATAACTTCAAGAAAGTTTAAGTTATACTAAGCAGCCTGTTAGAATGAGGCAGCTCCATATGTCCTGATTTAGGACAATCTCCAAGATGTATGAGGTGGAAAAAAGCAAGGTGCAGATCAACGAGGTTACATATGTGCTTGTATATCATCCCTTCCCACTGGAAGAAGACACCAGGAGCTGGAAATGGACTTTACTGGGGGCTGGATGGGCAAGGCTGGGGCTGGGGCTGGGGCTTAGGGAGTGGAAGCTGGAGTCTGATCTTTCATTGCCTGCACTTTTGTCTTTGTGATTTTTTTTTTTTAAACAATGTGTATTTATGATCTATCCCAGAAACTAAAGAAGAAATTCCAAATAGATGTAAATAAGTAAATTAAAGCAGAACTCTGTAGCTGTTCTGAAGCTGGGGTTAACCAGGGCCATTTCTCTGGCTGGGATTTATGACATCCCTTTCTGTTGGGTACCCATGACTCCCAGTGAATGCAGCAGGTCCCAGTAGCTGCCTTCAGAGTCTGGCTAGGGTCATTAAAAAGGTATTTGTAAGATCTGGCTTTGCAAATCCCAGGCAAAAAGTACCCAGTAGCAGGGCCAGACCTGGGTGCCCCTCCCCCTTAACTGAGAAAGACTAGGTTGCCAACTGGGTGCCCCTCAGGATGTGGGGCAGGGCTGTTCGCTCCCCTTGATGGTGGGAGCAAGCTGGGACTTGTTTGGGAAGGCCACAACTGGGTGGTTTTCCTCCTCTGGCTGTACACACACCTTTCAACCCCGTTAGTCCCATTTCTTTCATCTTGAAAGGACAAAGACTGACTTGTCTGAGCCTCTTAATCAGTCAGGCTGGCTTTGGGCTTTGTGGGACAGTCCTGACTTTCTCAGGTCTTGCTTTCTGGAACATCACTCCAAATTAGATGGCAGAGTGGCTTTTTAACAGAGTGCACTGACCTTGTTTTCTTTCTCTGTCCCTAAAACTTGAGGTAATTAGTTGGGTGAAGACCTGTACTACAGTTTGGCAGGACTCTTCTGTCGATGTTTCTAAGGCTGACCTATTTCTGCTCCGCACTGGAATAAACTGCCTGTCCCCTCCATTCTGTTGTGGTCCTGGAATTCCTACCCAGGAGGGGCTTGGGGGTATCAGTGGGGTTGGGGTGGGGGTGGAGGGACATGCAGGAAACTTGCCTGGAAGCTGAGTTTGCTGAGAGAGCACGTGATTTTCCCTTGGATTGCAAATCATATTGATCTGTAACCTACAAAGTTTTCTAAAGGTGTGTTTAGTCTCACACTTTACCTAAGCATGAGAAAATGTCACTTGTCCATATCAAACCATTGCTGGTTGTCTTGCAGGGGACCTGGGGGGCACTTTGGGGAGCTGTTGATGGAGATCTTGAGGGGAGGCTGACTTTCTCCATCGTCCCTCCTCCCTGCACCGCACACCACGCCATCCTGCAGGGCTTGGGAGACCTCTGCCTGAAGGCTTTTGCAGACCTGGTGCATTTGTTCTTCCATCTGCAGCCAAACTGGTTTTTGTTCCTATAAGTCCTTGGAATTCAAGCTCTTTGCCAGGCTGAGCGAGATCTAAACTAGAGAGGGAACTAGAGGAGAATTTATGACAAAACCAGGTGCTGAGAATGAGGACTTCAGACCGCACCTTATGACAAAGACCAGCCTGTACGATAAACCCAAACTGAGACTCCCATCTTCCCAACTTGGGCCCCTTAAGTTCAAAGGTGAGATTTGTAAACTGGTTTGGATTAACAAGCCCCGACTCCTCTGTGTCGACTTAATTTTTGGAATTCAAAACAGGCTACCCTCTCTTAAATAGTCCCCAGGCAATGTGAATTCTATAGGAATCCAAGACCCCCCCCCCCC